GCAGTGGAGTTGGTTCTTTCTATGCACAGTGCCATCCTGACACACATAAGCTACAGCGTCGCGTGGACCATGCTCGGGTATAACCAATACTTTCCAAATAAAACACCATTACATTACTTGAAATAGAAGCACTGATTTCATCAATAAGTGCTACTCTTTGGGGCAGTCTCATCTGTGTATTTGACATTACTTACTTTGTGTGAGTCCTGCGATGTTTCTCGGCTGAAAGTCACCCTAATTGTAGCACATTTACTGCAGTTTTAAAGTAAGTGCTAGCAAGTTGGGGCATAAGCGTGAGCGCTTTGTTTGAAGGGGAAATCAGTGTCAGGTGTTTTCGGTCTATGGCATAACCAAGCCACCTTCTTACTGTTCAAGGGGTGCAACAGTTAGTACACATCATTTAATACTTGACGTAAAACACAGTTACAAAACATTTAACTCAAAGGAGCTACTCCACTCACCAGCGGTAGCAGTCAGGAATTCCAGGAAATATCCCGTTTTACCATTAAATACATTTCTAGTATGTTAAGAGAGATAATACACTTTAGTCGTTAGCTTACATTTAGTGTGAATGGTTGAGCGGCGGGCCTAACCATTCTATTGGACCGTCTTTACAAGCCTTAGCAGGAATGGAGCGTAAGACAGGGCTTAAGTGCAACTCCTTGGCCAAGCATCTTTTCAAGCCTTTTCAAGCCATTTCTAACCCCAACCCTAAGCTGTACATGATGTGAAAGAAAACGTGATTCCTCAGACCAAGCCACCTTCTTACTGCTCCACTGTCCTGTGCTGATGCTCATGTGCAGTTTCTATGAGCTTTTGATGGAAGAAACTGGCCAGCATAGCTAGTGTAGAGGCCACCATTTTCTTGGTTTTCGTCCCTGGTTGTCTAGTGGTAAGGATTCGGCGCTCTCACCGCCGCGGCCCGGGTTCGATTCCCGGTCAGGGAATGGTGTTTTATCCACCGCTGGCCAAATTAACATTTAAAAAGAAACCATATCACACAGAGAAATCCGTCCTTAGAGCCGCTCTACCAACTGAGCTATCGGAGGTGAAGCGATATATCTATAAAACCATTCGGTATATCGATATATAAGGTGCGAATTTATCCCAACTGAGCAAGCCACTAAGTGGTGACGGTGGCAAGGAAAAACTCCCTAAGATGTTAAGAGGAACAAACCTTGAGAGGAACCAGAATCAGAAGGGAACCTATCCTCATCTGGGTAACATCAGATAGTGTGAAAAAGATGATTAGGGATTCATATGGAGTCTCTTTGGCCTTAGAAGCAGCTGTAGTCCCAGCAATCTGGAATTGGAGTAGATGAGCGCCCCATTCCAGAGTTAGGCCATCCAAAATGGATCAGGTAGGTCCAGAGAGCAGAGGGGATCAGGATCTCTAGTATCTCCATAAAATCGGGTGTGGCTCGACAGAAGGAGGGAGGGAGAGAAAAAAAACTAGGACTGTGCTTAGCATAAGAGAAAGTCTAGTCAGGGTAGGCTTGATTAAACAAATACGATTAAAGCCTAGACACTGAGACTGTGCCTGAGTCCCGAACTCTAATTGGAAGACTGTTCCATAAGTGTGGGGCTCCAGAAGAGAAAGCTCATCCTCCTGTTGTAGCCTTCGCTATTCGAGGTGCGAACAAATAGCCGCCATCTTTTGATCTAAGTAGGCGTGGCGGATCATAGAAAAGCAAAAGGTCGCTTAGATACTGCGGTGCGAGACCATTTAGTTAATTATGGGTTACTAATAGTATTTTATAATATAAAGTATTTTATAGTTATCTTTGATAAGTGAGCTAGCAAACGAGATCGATTTTTGAATTTTGCTCTTCACAAGCAAGCGGCGCAAAGTGATTTAAGGAAACACTAGACTTTTTTTTCTGGAGCCAATAAACGTGTTTGTGCATCTTTATATTCTCATGTTTCTGCCCTTCTTCAATACATTTACTTCAATTAAGTAACTAGACCATTTACAACTTTACATGTACACATTCGATTCAGTTCAAATCAATTTTATTTGTGTAGCGCTTTTTACAGTGGACATTGTCTCAAAGCAGGATTCGTTTGACTTCCTTTACGTCAATGCAATTTCCCAGGATGGAAGATGTGTTTGGCACGAGCTTGTTTGATGAATGCCAAGGTGCTTTGTTGCTCATCTTCATAAAGATTCTCTGCATTAAGACTCAGGTTCATAGCAGGCTTCAACTTGCACAGGTAAAGCCCCAGTGCAGTTCAAGTCCAGTGCCATATTCTGTTGGCCATCACGGGTATGGGGCACAGGACAAGGCTTAAGTGCAATTTCTTGGATCATTTATGGTTTTATCGTTTATGTTTGATGCTATCCAAAGTGACAACCGTCTTTCAGCGCGTAAGTAGGATTTCCTCGTTAGTATAGTGGACAGTATCTCTGCCTGTCACGCGGAAGACCGGGGTTCGATTCCCCGGCGGGGAGTCTGTTTGCTAACACCGGTGCTCTATTCTTTTGCACACCACGCGAAAGAACCATGAGACGAGGCTTAAGTGCAATTCCTTGGCTTTTTTATGTTTTGGTCATTTCCCACATGCCAAGCGTCTTTACAAGCCTTACCAGGAATGGAGCGTAAGACAAGGCTTAAGTGCAACTCCTTGGCCAAGCGTCTTTACAAGCCTTAGCAGGAATGGAGCGTAAGACACGGCTTAAGTGCAACTCCTTGGCCAAGCGTCTTTACAAGGCTTACCAGGAATGGAGCGTAAGACAAGGCTTAAGTGCAACTCCTTGGCCAAGCGTCTTTTCAAGCATTTTCAAGCCATTTCTAACCCCAACCCTAAGCTGTACATGATGTGAAAGAAAACGTGATTCCTCAGACCAAGCCACCTTCTTACTGCTCAAGGGTGCAACGGTTAATACACATCATTTAATACTTGACGTAAAACACAGTTACAAAACATTTAACTCAAAGGAGCTACGCCACTCACCAGCGGTAGCAGTCAGGAATTCCAGGAAATATCCCGTTTTACCATTAAATACATTTCTAGTATGTTAAGAGAGATAATACACTTTAGTCGTTAGCTTACATTTAGTGTGAATGGTTGAGCGGCGGGCCTAACCATTCTATTGGACCGTCTTTAGAAGCCTTAGCAGGAATGGAGCATAAGACAGGGCTTAAGTGCAACTCCTTGGCAGCGTCTTTTCAAGCCTTTTCAAGCCATTTCTAACCCCACCCTAAGCTGTACAATGATGTGAAAAGAAGCGTGATTCCTCAGACCAAGCCACCTTCTTACTGCTCAAGGGTGCAACGGTTAATACACATCATTTAATACTTGACGTAAAACACAGTTACAAAACATTTAACTCAAAGGAGCTACGCCACTCACCAGCGGTAGCAGTCAGTAATTCCAGCAAATATCCTGTTTTACCATTTAATACATTTCTAGTATGTTAAGAGAGATAATACAGTTTAGTTGTTAGCTTACATTTAGTGTGAATGGTTGAGCAGCGGGCCTAACCATTCTATTGGACCGTCTTTACAAGCCTTTCCAGGGATGGAGCGTAAGACAAGGCTTAAGTGCAACTCCTTGGCCAAGCGTCTTTACAAGCCTTACCAGGAATGGAGCGTAAGACAAGGATTAAGTGCAACTCCTTGGCCAATCGTCTTTTCAAGCCTTACCAGGAATTGGGCGCTAAGACAAGGATTAAGTGCAACTCCTGGGCAAAGCGTCTTTCAAGCCTTTTCGAGCCATTTCTAACCCCAATAAAGTTTATTATTATTATTATTATTATTATTATTATTATAACCCTAAGCTGTACATGGTGTGAAAGAAAACATGATTCCTCAGACCAAGCCACCTTCTTACTGCTCCATGGTCCTGTGCTGATGCTCATGTGATTTTCTATGAGCTTTTGATGGAAGACACTGGCCAGCATAACCAGTGCAGAGGCCACCATTTTCTTGGTTTTCATCCCTGGTTGTCTAGTGGTAAGACCGGTGTTTAAGTTGTATAAACACAATCATACATATATAAACACAATCGACGGCAGCCTCAGGAAACACAAGCACATGAATAAGGCAGGTAATCAAACTAAACCCAACACCTGCCGTGAGATCACATTCACACTAACCACACCTGCCCGACTCAACTGCACCCCAGCATGTCAACTACATTATGAACAGTCTTATCAACAAAGTGCAGCATGTCAGAAGTGGGATTTGAACCCACACCTCCAGAAGAGACTGAAAACTTAACACAGCGCCTTAGACCACTCGACCATCCTGACTAAAAGACCCAAAAACTATGCAAAGGAAATTCCAAACTATGCAGGGGCATTTATTTAAACAAGCTCTCAGGAACAGCCCAATACCCCCTCATCAGAGGTGCAGCAAAGGAACCAAATGTCAGAAATGGGATTTGAACCCACGCCTCCAGGGGAGACTGCGACCTGAACGCAGCGCCTTAGACCGCTCGGCCATCCTGACCCACATAAGCTACAGCGTCGTGGACCATGCTCGCGTACAACCAATACTTTCCAAATAAAACACCATTACATTACTTGAAATAGAAGCACTGATTTCATCAATAAGTGCTACTCTTTGGGGCAGTCTCATCTGTGTATTTGACATTACTTACTTTGTGTGAGTCCTGCGATGTTTCTCGGCTGAAAGTCACCCTAATTGTAGCACATTTACTGCAGTTTTAAAGTAAGTGCTAGCAAGTTGGGGCATAAGCGTGAGCTGTTAGTTTGAAGGGGAAATCAGTGTCAGGTGTTTTCAGTCTATGGCATAACCAAGCCACCTTCTTACCTTCTTACCTTGGCCAAGCATCTTTTCAAGCCTTTTCAAGCCATTTCTAACCCCAACCCTAAGCTGTACATGATGTGAAAGAAAACGTGATTCCTCAGACCAAGCCACCTTCTTACTGCTCCACTGTCCTGTGCTGATGCTCATGTGCAGTTTCTATGAGCTTTTGATGGAAGAAACTGGCCAGCATAGCTAGTGTAGAGGCCACCATTTTCTTGGTTTTCGTCCCTGGTTGTCTAGTGGTAAGGATTGGCGCTCTCTCGGGCCCGGGTTCGATTCCCGGTCAGGGAATGGTGTTTTATCCACCGCTGGCCAAATTAACATTTAAAAAGAAACCATATCACACAGAGAAATCCGTCCTTCGAGCCGGATTGGAACCAGTGACCTGAGGATGACTAGTTTAAGTACCTACAGTCCTCCACTCTACCAACTGAGCTATCGGAGGTGAAGCAAAGCTCAATCCATGTATATCTATAAAACCATTCGGTATATCGATATATAAGGTGCGAATTTATCCCAACTGAGCAAGCCACTAAGTGGTGACGGTGGCAAGGAAAAACTCCCTAAGATGTTAAGAGGAACAAACCTTGAGAGGAACCAGAATCAGAAGGGAACCTATCCTCATCTGGGTAACATCAGATAGTGTGAAAAAGATGATTAGGGATTCATATGGAGTCTCTTTGGCCTTAGAAGCAGCTGTAGTCCCAGCAATCTGGAATTGGAGTAGATGAGAGCTCCATCCAGAGGTAGGCCATCCAAAATGGATCAGGTAGGTCCAGAGAGCAGAGGGGATCAGGATCTCTAGTATCTCCATAAAATCGGGTGTGGCTCGACAGAAGGAGGGAGGGAGAGAAAAAAAACTAGGACTGTGCTTAGCATAAGAGAAAGTCTAGTCAGGGTAGGCTTGATTAAACAAATACGATTAAAGCCTAGACACTGAGACTGTGCCTGAGTCCCGAACTCTAATTGGAAGACTGTTCCATAAGTGTGGGGCTCCAGAAGAGAAAGCTCATCCTCCTGTTGTAGCCTTCGCTACTCGAGGTACGAACAAATAGCCTGCATCTTTTGATCTAAGTAGGCGTGGCGGATCATAGAAAAGCAAAAGGTCGCTTAGATACTGCGGCGCGAGACCATTTAGTTAATTATGGGTTACTAATAGTATTTTTATAATATAAAGTATTTTATAGTTATCTTTGATAAGTGAGCTAGCAAACGAGATCGATTTTCTATTCGAATTTTGCTCTTCACAAGCAAAGCGGCAAAGTGATTTAAGGAAACACTAGACTATTTTTTCTGGAGCCAATAAACGTGTTTGTGCATCTTTATATTCTCATGTTTCTGCCCTTCTTCAATACATTTACTTCAATTAAGTAACTAGACCATTTACAACTTTACATGTACACATTCGATTCAGTTCAAATCAATTTTATTTGTGTAGCGCTTTTTACAGTGGACATTGTCTCAAAGCAGGATTCGTTTGACTTCCTTTACGTCAATGCAATTTCCCAGGATGGAAGATGTGTTTGGCACGAGCTTGTTTGATGAATGCCAAGGTGCTTTGTTGCTCATCTTCATAAAGATTCTCTGCATTAAGACTCAGGTTCATAGCAGGCTTCAACTTGCACAGGTAAAGCCCCAGTGCAGTTCAAGTCCAGTGCCATATTCTGTTGGCCATCACGGGTATAGGGGCACAGGACAAGGCTTAAGTGCAATTTCTTGGATCATTTATGGTTTTATCGTTTATGTTTGATGCTATCCAAAGTGCCAACCGTCTTTCAGCGCGTAAGTAGGATTTCCTCGTTAGTATAGTGGACAGTATCTCCGCCTGTCACGCGGAAGACCGGGGTTCGATTCCCCGACGGGGAGTCTGTTTGCTAACACCGGTGCTCTATTCTTTTGCACACCACGCGAAAGAACCATGAGACGAGGCTTAAGTGCAATTCCTTGGCTTTTTTATGTTTTGGTCATTTCCCACGCTGCCAGCGTCTTTACAAGCCTTAGCAGGAATGGAGAGTAAAGACAAGGCTTAAGTGCAACTCCTTGGCCAAGCGTCTTTTCAAGCCTTTTCAAGCCATTTCTAACCCCAACCCTAAGCTGTACATGATGTGAAAGAAAACGTGATTCCTCAGACCAAGCCACCTTCTTACTGCTCAAGGGTGCAACGGTTAATACACATCATTTAATACTTGACGTAAAACACAGTTACAAAACATTTAACTCAAAGGAGCTACGCCACTCACCAGCGGTGTAAGTCAGGAATTCCAGGAAATATCCCGTTTTACCATTAAATACATTTCTAGTATGTTAAGAGAGATAATACACTTTAGTCGTTAGCTTACATTTAGTGTGAATGGTTGAGCGCGGGCCTAACCATTCTATCGGACTGTCTTTACAAGCCTTACCAGGAATGGAGCGTAAGACAAGGCTTAAGTGCAACTCCTTGGCCAAGCGTCTTTTCAAGCATTTTCAAGCCATTTCTAACCCCCAACCCTAAGCTGTACATGATGTGAAAGAAAAAGTGATGCTTCCTCAGACCAAGCCACCTTCTTACTGCTCAAGGGGTGCTTAACGGTTAATACACATCATTTAATACTTGACGTAAAACACAGTTACAAAACATTTAACTCAAAGGAGCTACGCCACTCACCAGCGGTAGCAGTCAGTAATTCCAGCAAATATCCTGTTTTACCATTTAATACATTTCTAGTATGTTAAGAGAGATAATACAGTTTAGTTGTTAGCTTACATTTAGTGTGAATGGTTGAGCAGCGGGCCTAACCATTCTATTGGACCGTCTTTACAAGCCTTTCCGGGGATGGAGCGTAAGACAAGGCTTAAGTGCAACTCCTGGCCCAGCGTCTTTACAAGCCTTACCAGGAATGGAGCGTAAGACAAGGATTAAGTGCAACTCCTTGGCCAAGCGTCTTTTCAAGCCTTACCAGGAATTGAGCGTAAGACAAGGATTAAGTGCAACTCCTGGGCAAAGCGTCTTTTCAAGCCTTTTCGAGCCATTTCTAACCCCAATAAAGTTTATTATTATTATTAATTATTATTATTATTATAACCCTAAGCTGTACATGGTGTGAAAGAAAACATGATTCCTCAGGACCAAGCCACCTTCTTACTGCTCCATGGTCCTGTGCTGATGCTCATGTGATTTTCTATGAGCTTTTGATGGAAGACACTGGCCAGCATAACCAGTGTAGAGGCCACCATTTTCTTGGTTTTCATCCCTGGTTGTCTAGTGGTAAGACCGGTGTTTAAGTTGTATAAACACAATCATACATATATAAACACAATCAGGAGCGCCCTCAGGAAACACAAGCACATGAATAAGGCAGGTAATCAAACTAAACCCAACACCTGCCGTGAGATCACATTCACACTAACCACACCTGCCCGACTCAACTGCACCCCAGCATGTCAACTACATTATGAACAGTCTTATCAACAAAGTGCAGCATGTCAGAAGTGGGATTTGAACCCACACCTCCAGAAGAGACTGAAACCTTAACACAGCGCCTTAGACCACTCGACCATCCTGACTAAAAGACCCAAAAAACTATGCAAAGGAAATTCCAAACTATGCAGGGGCATTTATTTAAACAAGCTCTCAGGAACAGCCCAATACCCCCTCATCAGAGGTGCAGCAAAGGAACCAAATGTCAGAAATGGGATTTGAACCCACGCCTCCAGGGGAGACTGCGACCTGAACGCATGGCCTTGCACCCCTCGGCCATCCTGACACACTTAAGCTACAGTGTCGTGGACCATGCTCGGGTATAGCCAATACTTTCCAAATAAAGCACAATTAGATTACTTGAAATAGAAGCACTGATTTCATCAATAAGTGCTACTCTTTGGGGCAGTCTCATCTGTGTATTTGTCATTACTTACTTTGTGTAGTCCTGCGATGTTTCTCGGCTGAAAGTCACCCTAATTGTAGCACATTTACTGCAGTTTTAAAGTAAGTGCTAGCAAGTTGGGGCATAAGCGTGAGCTGTTAGTTTGAAGGGGAAATCAGTGTCAGGTGTTTTCAGTCTATGGCATAACAATCAGGTGTGAGTGAGTACCATGTCTGATTTGAGGAACAGGGATCAGTCAAAGTCTGACCTTCACAACACATGTTTGTTAAAGTGTATCATGCTAGGCAAAAATTTTATTTGTGAGGATCTGGGAAAAGGCTTTTGGATGAGGTGGCCGAGAGGTTAAGGCGATGGACTGCTAATCCATTGTGCTCTGCGCGGCGTGGGTTGGAGTCCCACCCTCATCGCAGACAGGTTGTTTTGCCTCCACTTTACAACAACCTCTGGCTTGGGTGCAGTCTGTCTCACACATACAAGGCCTACAGGTGACAGGCTCTGGACAGATCCATGAGACAGAACAAGTGTGGGTGGAGAAACATGAAAAGCTAGAATTGCAATGGCAAACAATGTGCATCACATCCTCCTTTATTCTCCACAGACTCCACAGACTGGCATGTAATTTCATAAGTGTGAGTTATGTCAGCAATAGGTTAAGTTGATGGACTGCCAATCTGCTGTGCACAGTCTGGATTTGAATCAAGAAGACTTTTAATGCAGGTTTAATGCAAGTTCTCATTCGTAGTTTGACAGACAATACTGTCCAAATTAAACACCATTACATTACAGGAAATAGAAGCACTGATTTCATCAATAAGTGCTACTCTTTGGGGGGCAGTCTCAGCTGTGTATTTGACATTACTTACTTTGTGTGAGTCCTGCGATGTTTCTCGGCTGAAAGTCACCCTAATTGTAGCACATTTACTGCAGTTTTAAAGTAAGTGCTAACAAGCTGGGGCAACTTTCAGTGAATTTGGACACCACAAATGTGGAGTGTGAAACTATAATCACATTCATTGTTGTTGAGATTCTAACTAAAGTGTTTCTCTTTATAAATATCTATTAAAATTCTTGCACATATGCTTAGTGAAACATGTGTTGAAATCTCTTAGAGCAATACTTTTTAATACATCAGTGAGAGCATCATTTGGCTGTGTACCTACTCTCAACCTAGCGTGATAACTGCCTGTCAACGTGTGAATGACCTGGTTCATTCACAAGGAGTGATCTGCCATCATCACTTCTATTGTCACATTGGCTTCTGTGGGTTGGACTGTGAATCATCTCAATTTACGATCAGACTCCAAGCATTGCAATGAACATCACTTGACTCAGGCCCCTCAGAATGAAAAAAGTGGTCAACTGGTAAACTCTCAGTGGACAACTTCTAAGAAAGCAGGCATGCACTGATTACATTTGTCATGGTAA